TCTTAATCTGTCGGAGAGAGAAATTTGTGTTTTGGGTACTTTTGTTAAATCATAAGTGTGTTCAACCTAGATAACAAAGAAACTGTCCGAGTAAGTACGCAAGGAAATTTTGGATTTGTATCTAGAAGCAACAGATGTGTTGCAGATGCCTGTATTCTTCATATATTCAAAAGACACTATCAAATTTAATTCAGATAGTCTTTGAATGTTGATGTATAAAGGAGTGCAAGTTAATGCAAGAATATTAACTTGATTTTAGAGGATGTCAAAAAACTGTTATCCCTCCTTTGACGGCACAGAAAACACAAGATTTGGTTGAGGATAGCTGTTGTAGAGGAATTGAGAAGGTCTAGTAAAGACGAAACTCAGTTTTCCTCAACCAAGTCTTTTGTGTTCTGTGCGTCAAAGGAGGGATATAAGTATTTTAACATCCTCTAAAATGAAGTTTATTGAAACTCCTTTAAAATCCAAATACAACAAATATCAAGAAATATGAACTTGGGCTCTCGATAAGCAAGGGCCAACACCTTCGTACAATCATTTTAAAACGGCGAATTTGGAGGATCGTCTTCTTTGCTTGCTTCAACCTTTGAGACTGAACGGTAAGACGAATCAAATTATAATTGACTTTGCAAATAGAATTCTAATGTGAACGATTTATGAATACAGCTTTCTTTTTCTTTAAAACTAATTATTTTTAACTTTGATTCTTGACAACCAGGAGCGAGCACCTGCACTTCAAAGACAAGTCTAACCACATTGATACGCCTGGCCGAATGGAAGCCGTGTCTTCGATTTCTAAAGGCCCGTTTACACTTGCAATTTTTGCAGCGCGATTGTCGCGCGACAATCGCCACTTTGATCTCGCGCACCTCAAATCGTACGTGTAAACAGCCCTGCGATTATTGTCGCGGCGATGCCGCTAAATTTCAAGAATGTTCGAAACTATAGGCGATTGCGCGCGACAATCGCGCTGCAAAATTTGCAAGTGTAAACGGGCCTTAAAGCCCCGTCTACACGAGCAATTTTTATGTGACAACTATATGTGACAATTTTTTTTCCGTGTGGGCAGGCAGCAAATAATTGTTGAAGACTCGCGCCAACTATGATTTTGCACAGCGGAGAAGTCAATAAATAAAACAAATTTAAATACTATAGCTTCGTAAGAGTACTAGAGATAATAAAACTTTAACAAATACGATATATTTTTAATCTTAACATGTTTCAGCATTACATTATGCCATTCTCAGAAGAATGGGGATGAGAATGAGCAATTAAAAATTGTCACATAAAAATTGTCCGTGTAGATGAGGCTTAATTCAGAGGTCTGAAGTTCAAGACTCAGAGGAGCTGACATTTCTTTAATTAGATTTCTTTCCTTGTCAAAAAATTAATAAATTCAACCAAATATAGATCAGGGAACCCGGTAACTGTAACTTAATGAGTAAATTAATAGAGAACAATGAGAATAAATTATAATTCTGAACACAAGTAACGAAGGCTCAAGTTTACAGGAAAGTGAGTGAGTGAGTGAGTGAGTGAGTGAGTGATTGAGTGAGTGACAGTCTCGTCCCACTGCAATAACTCTTCGATTGCTTCGCAATCTTCGAGTTAAAAAGAAAGAAGTAACAATTATAGAGTGGATTTCATTAGTCAAAGTGTAATGCTGCATGATACACTAAAAAGACAAGAAAATCAGACAAAATAAAGACAGGGTAGGAAAGACAAAAGAAAGTAAAAAATGATCATAATAATTTGTAGAAATTATGCCGCGCAATTGGAAATCACTAAACTGAGAATATGCAAATAATTATTGAATCAACGGTTTGCATATCGACTACAGAAGGCGAGAACTAAAGAAATAAAAAAAGGAATTCAAGGGTGCATCGACAAGCATAATAACAGTAACATAAAGCTAATAAACACAAAAGAACAAACAAAGAAAATCAACTTTCTTTTGTCTTCATCTATTTTATTCCCTAAATGTATGTTTTTTTTTACTTTATCCATGTTTATGTCGCAGTGTGAACCTGTTCTAAAAACGTCAGCTCTTCTCGTTCTAAATCAACTCTTTAAGGCATTCATTGAATTATTCCATACAAAGGTATCTCACATAACACGTGCTACTTATTAGGTTTGTCCATACGACCATGAGAATTTGTAACATCGAGTGAAAACACTAAAATGTTGAAAAACTTTACGGGTATTTCAATAGCACTGAATTGTAGTGAATTAGAGAGGTTTTCATAAACCCGTGAAACAAAGTGTAATAATTAGAGTGTAATAGATCGTAATAGTCGCGTAGAGACAATAAAAAACAAAAGAGACAAAGTGTAATAGCGATAAATACGTTAAAGTGTGTTTCACGGGTTAATGAAAACCACTTTATGCGTATTCCTTTGTATAACCTATACTACGCGCGAGGGCCATAAAAAGTGGAAAAATCGGGGTTCCATAATATGTACTTATTGACTGAGTGGGAGGGCCGTACGGGAAAATATTTGGCTCGAGGTTATGCCGTACGGACCGAGCGCAGTCAATAAGTACATAGTACGTCTCGAGCAAGCGAGGTTAATAAGATATTTATTATATAGCATTAAGTTCAGGGAAAAATAGTAAAATTAATAGAGAATCGGACATAAAAATACGTTTTTGTTCGTACTTTTCTTGTCATTCAAAATAGAAGGAAAAAAGAAAAGTCTGAAAAATCTTGATGGCAAAATTTGGATTCATTTTTGACTCTTTTTATACAGTATAACTACAAAATGAGAGAAAGCGATCCTTTTTAAGATAAAAAACGTTTTTTCTCGTTTCATCTGGCCCGCTTTTTAGCCAATGAAATCGTGTGTTACATCCGAGCTCATATATAATAAATTGCGATATTTTATTTAGCACTGTTTCAATAGTGCCGGTGCGCGCTGCACTGTGAGCATAAGATCAAAAAAGACTTACGGATGAAAATGATGAAGATAAAAGGAAGTTGTTTTTTTTTTCTGTTTATTCTGGTCTTGTGTTTAAATAGCTCAATATGTATTTCATTCAAGTTTCTTTCTCGGCTTGAAGCCGACACGACCATAGCAACAAGAACCACTTCGTGGCACATACCGAGTCCAGGTTACCGGCGCTGATATATTTTACCAGCGCCGCGATCGATTTGATAGATTTTGCGTATGATCTTTTCACATTTTTTTGGGATATATTTTATCATTGCAGCGAAAATTTTTCATTCACATTATCCTCAGAGAATATGCTATAGGGTGAAAGTTTGCTTTACATAAAATGATTTTAGAAAGAAAAAAAATAACGAATGTATTTTAAAGTTAAAGAAAGAAAGAAAAAAAAAATGAAGCTGCTCGATCGAGTCGAACCCGAGAGCGTCAGTTCAACGCCGCTATAATAATCTTGCAAGTAAAATACACCTACTTGCAGAAACGTTGTCATAGAAAATAGACTAGAACATTTGAATTTAGTAAAAAGGGAAAAATTAAAACAAGACAAAAGAAAGCGTTCAGCCTCAGTGATCTTCTTTTGTCTTTTTAATTTATTCCTTTTTACTAAATACAAATGTCCTATTTTTTATATGACAACGATTTCGCAAGTAGGTGTATGTTAAACAAATATCTAAAGGAACAATAAGAATCAGTATATATTTTAGTAAAAAAAAAGAAAAAGAAAGAAGGAAAGAAAAAAATCGCTGAGAAGCGATCGAGACGCGAATTGAACCTGCGGTCCTAAGTTTGACGCTATTCGGGTATAATATTTTGTGTTAAATCAAAATAATGGCTCGAAAATAATTATTAAACAAAATCTACAGAAATATTTCAAGAWAACTATAAAAACTATATTTTATTAAAAAAGAGAAAAAGAAAAAAAAATCTGTCATCTTGATACGAGGTTCGAWCGCGAYCCTTCGTTCGACGSCGYTGTTCGAGTATCATCTTGTTTCTAAAATATAACAAACGCGGCTCGTAAATATTAATAAAAATCAAACATGACTAGAACTCTGGACTATAATTTTAGTTAAAAAAGAAAGAAAGAAAAAAGAAAGAATTTTTCAGAGGTGAGGACCGAACCTTGAAACTCTGGTTTAAGGGTCCCTTGGGATTGCTAAACTTCGACGTGACCGTGGCCTGGACACGGTAATGAAAATAATCAACTGGTTAAAGACAAACGAATAACAGTACTGTTTCCTTATTTCCTCTAAACTGGTGTTTTCCT